CTTCTTGGGCCCGTGCTGTTCTGTGACCTTGAGAAGTCACACCTGGGTAGGAGGTATCAAAGGCACTGAGGAACCTCACTCCAGTCCACTCCGTGTTTCTTTCACCGTGAAAGAAGCTGTACCTTCTCACCCGGAGTTCCTTATAAAAAAAGAGTGTAATCTCCTGATTCTCCCCTCAGTGCATGCAATTGCTCTGTTTTTCAAGAATAAGTATGTCATATGTGGGATTAGGACTTTTAATGAGGCAGAGCCCAGGATGATAGGACAGTATGGCAGGCAAGTTTTTCTGACTGTGAAAGAAGAGCGTAATCCCAGTTATTTACAAACCAGAGACTTTGATTTGGCTCAACAGATTTTGGAGATTGAGAAGTTCAAGATCAAAGGACTGCGTCCAATCTTCTTACTCTCTGAGAATACAGTGTAAGGTATCACATGACAAGAGTGACCAAAAGACTAAAATGGAAGACTTAAGCTCCTTTCTAATCAGGATTAATCCACTTACAAAGGTGAGCTCCTCAGGTCCTGTCTCCCAAACACACTTGTGAGGGAAACAGGCTTCCAACACATGCTGTTTTTTGTGGGGACATATTCAAATCACAGCAGATTGGAGGCACAAAGCCCCTGAATAGGTTATTGGTTGTCATGTCAGCCTTCATAAGTTCTTACTTTTAGACTGGTTGTAGTCAGTAGAATGTGAATAACAGATTATATGCCACGGCTGAACAGCAGTTTTAAGAGACATTGTGCATTTCTGTCATGATTTTCTTTCTTTGTCAGGGAAATAATATACTCCCATTTAGACAAGACCCTAGAATAAAAACAACATGTGGAACAGAACTACAGCTGTGGGACAGGCCACACAATACATACAAGCAGGAAATACTTCCATGTTGTAATAAAACACTGGGGCCTAGAGATTGTTTCGTTACTATGTGGTGACCTAGAGAAGCTCTGACTGAAGCATTGCAGATATGCTTATTTGTGACACCTCGCCTGATAACTATATCTTCTGACTGTTCCTATTGCTTGAACATTTCGGGAGGGGGGGGCTCTCGATTAATAGTATCAGAAACAAATGGATACTGTTTTGAAAACAAACTCATTGGCCACACTTAAGTGTTTCTGATTCAACAGACATAAATAAATTATCCTCACTACTGGATCCCGTAATCTCTACATTTTGAAAACTCCACAAGTCTTTTTACAAATTTAGAAACTGATTGTAGACTTCATTCCACAGAGTACAGTTTGCTTTGGACTCTCATCTTTCCTGTTCCCTTGGATCTACATAAGCCACCATTTTTAATGCTTACTTTTGGCCTTGACTTGAACAGTGGCTTTTCTGTATCAAACTCTTTTGAATGTCCTTGTCTTGTATTGCTAGACAGGTCAAACTGAACTTGTACTTAAGCTTGCTATTGTTTGAAGCACACATTAATTTTCTCTTAAAAGAAGTGTGTGTGTGTATGTGTGTATGTGTGTGTGTGTGTGTGAAAGTACATTTATGAACAAAAAGCAGATAGAGTCAAATGAGATTGTTTTGTACTGATAAAAAGCTAATTCTGAAATGGAGCTGCAGAGCTAATTATCTGTCCGAGAAGAGGTACAGGACCTATTTAGGTCAAAAGTAACAGAAAAATTGCTGCTACAATTATTTCTAGTAGTTCTCCGATAAATGCTTGTGTGCATTAATGCATGCATGGATCTCCCCAGGTGGCATGAGCTAGCTGTCTAAATCTTTCAGGTACCCATTGTTCAGTGATCTAATAGAAATGAGGAAAAGACAGGTGGATGAAAAATAATTGAAAGCAGAGTCAGATAAAATCAGTTCTCTCATTGTCTAGGAGAGAAACATTAAGGCCAGAGTCATCACAACTAGAAGAGAAAGCTCCCCACATCATCAAGACTGTCCATCCCCTCCTTAAATCCCGAATCATTTTCTGCTCGTTTGGGTAAACTTCTCCTTATGTAAATGTAATGATTGATTGCATAGAAACATTGCACAGACACATTGCTTCCTGCTCAGAGTCAAAGCCATTGCTTTGCCTTAATTCATGCTCCTGGCATCCTGGCTATCCACCTCTTTGCTGCATGCATTGAACTTCCAGCCCCACTTATATCCCCTGTGGTCACTGTATTTGATTTTGGTACCTTGGTAATGTATATATGTTTATTTGAATTAGGGAAGGGAAGAGGAATGACAGAATGGTGGACAAAGGACTAGGGGAAACCAATGCAACAGTGATATACACAAGATACTATGTTGGTAATGGTCTGTCCAACTTGAGAGTATGGGAGTTAAGGAGAGGGAAAGTAGGAGACAAATGAAGGAAGGGCTAACAAGTTTGAAAAGAAATATACTTATTACCTGAGTTCTGTAACTGTAACCCCTCAGTCCGTCACCTTAACAATAAAAAAGGAGAAAGATGATATGCTTAGTGTCTGAACCTCAACTCAAACATTCAGAAAAAATGGACAGATTTAAAAGAAAGTTTGATTCACTGGAAAGTGATCGTGGGAATTAAATGCCAGAATCATAGTCTAATGGTCATGTTGACTCTTTTCTGCTTTTATCCACGATGGACCTATAATTGTGATAAGTCTCCAGTTGAGGAGGGAAAATAGCTCATTTTCTCATTATTGTTCCAACTGGAATTTTAAGCTTGTGGCAAACATTGTAATAATATACAAGACACAATGAAAAGAATTTTTAAAAAATCTTTCTTGAATACCATGTTATGAAGGCAGTGGAAGCCAAAAATTAAGATTAAAAAGAGTAGAATAAAATCTATCTTCAAAGGCAGAATCAACAAGCTTCCATAACCCATATGTCCATGTTTTTTCCCATTCATACATGTCTAAGAAATCCAGTCAGATACTTCATAAGGATGTTTGTTATTGTTTGCTACTGACAAATGAAATTGAGAGATGGAGCAAAGTCTAGAAAAAAAATCTCCCTTTTTGCAGTTCAAACCCACTCCTAGTCCTTTCCGTCATAATCACCACTAGTAAACAGCATAGAAAGCACCTAAGAACCATCTCCTAAATTCTACCTTAGAGACATTTCTATTTTAAAATAGTTTTTCAAACTTTACTAGGTGAATCAACAGTTAAGAAAATTAAGTAGGAAATTTTGTCTATAATGAATATTAAGGAAATAGAAATATCTCAGAAGTAGATACTTACACTTTACTAGATGTTATAGTTTTATTCTCTAAGACTTTCTAATGCAGTACAACTGAGCTTCTAAGGTATCTGAAGGTCTTTGGAAAACAGAGAGGTCAAGAATTCCTTCACCTATTTAAGAATGTATTCATCCTTTCCTTTCTTCTCTTGAATTTTACCTTCCCTCCCTTCCCTTCCTTCCCTTCCCTTCCCTTCCCTTTCCTTCCCACCCTTTCTACCCCTGCCCTTCTCTTCCCGCCCTTCTCCTCCTGTCTAATGATTGGCAATAGCTGCTTTGCTGTGGTTTTATTTCATTCCGAAAAATATTATTGAGCAAATAAATTAAGGAGGAGTTTCATGAAGTCAGGAAAGACGATACTTGAACTCAGTGGTCCATTTCCAAGCCACTATGAGCTGTTGTCACCATTCCTGGTTTATTTTTAAGCCCCTAATAAGTGTTATCTCAATGTAAAGCAACTGAAGATAAAGTGTGTTGATCAGTATTTTCCCCTTTGGGGACACTAAGCATAACTGGATAATCAAGCTACCTAGAATTATGTGCTAAGACTTCCGACAATAATCAAATTATTTTGCTTCTCTTTTCTATTTTCATGCAAAAGCACAGAATGCTTGCAGACTACTTGGAGGATTTTTTTTAAAAAACTGCATTTAAGAGAAAGAACATCAATTTTATTTCTCAGCTTCCTATACCTTGAGATAAACAAAGACTGTTCCAATGCAATTCATGAAATAGAACAGGCATAGGAGCACAACATTAGTCCACTTACAAAAAGTTACTGGGTCTTCATCATGTCCATGAGAGCAGTCCTGTTGAGAGTCACAGCATGGTTCTTGGATAATGCTGGGACCACTGGCACAAGAGAATTCATCCACAAAGCAACTGTGTCTGGAGCTGCTGTGTGCACAAGCATAGACCCAAAGCTGATCAGGCCCAATAAAACTGCCCTGGCTCAAAATGACACCTTCAAAAACAATCTTCAGAAAAGATCAACTCAGGAACTTTATCTCTTGAAAAAAAAAACTAGAGAAGGATAAATAGATTAAATAGTTATTGTAAAAAACACCTGTTTAAAGCAGCCAAATGCAATTGATAGTTTCTATTTGATAAATTCAACTTATATGCTTAATAATTATGAACTCACTTGCTTCACTAAGAACTCCTGACCAGACAAAATTTGGCATTCCATTAAACTGTCCAAACCACCTTGACCACAAACTATAGTTAGTGCATTATCTGAAGAGCTCTTTTTTTGTGTGGGTTGTGGGGATTGAACTCTGGGCCTGGGCACCGTCCCTCAGCTCTTCAGCTCAAGGCTAGCGCTCTACCACTTGAGCCACAGCGCCACTTCTGGTTTTCTAGTGGTTTATTGGAGATAAGAGTCTCACAGACTTTCCTGCCTGGGCTGGCTTTGAACCACCATCCTCAGATCTCAACTTCCTGAGTAGCTAGGATTACATGAATGAGCCACCAGCTCCCAGCTTCATTCTTTTTTTTTTTTTTTAATTCTCAAGAAAAAAGGAAAAGATTGTCATAGAATAGGAGTTATAACCATGAAGGGAAATATCAGGTAATGGAAGGGTATAATAGAAAATAAAAATTAAGAATATATTTCAAAGCCAAACTTGTCTCGAACAACAATAAGTCCCATTAAAAAAAAAAAAACAAAAAACTCCGCGTGTTGTAAAATGACACGTTTCTCAGAGGTCTACAGGTAACATTTGAAGGTCACCCCCATTCCAAAGAGACCCTCTGCGCGCAGGTGTGTATCCTGGATCGCTGGCCTCTTCACAAAACTGTCTACTTCCTCCTACAGCATAGGTGGAGACGTGGGGCGAGGCCACGACGCGGGCTACCCGGGCAAACACTTCCGCATGGGATTCATGACCATGCCTGCTCCTCAGGACCGACTCCCTCACCCCTGCTCCAGCGGCTTCACCGTGAGATCCCAGTCCCTCCACTCCGTCGGGGGCACCGAGGACGACAGCAGCTGTGGCTCCAGGAGGCAACCGCCACCCAAGCCCAAGCGGGACCCCAGCACCAAGCTGAGCACCTCTTCAGAGACAGTCAACACTGCAGCAGCCAGTAAGTGGGAAAGGCCCGGGGAGGGTGGAAGGTTAAGTCTCTCGATCTTGCATGGAGCCTGCTTTCTCTGGCCAGCCCTGTCCTCCAATCCCAAAGTCCCAGAAAAGATAACTCGGGGGGAGAGGTTTCATTGTTAGTGTGATGATGAATTACACCCAGAAGACTGTACTTCATTTGTGCATCAGAAATAGAGAAGGCACTATGTAAGCTGTATTACCCACTTCGGGCTTGAATCATTTAAACATTTTGCATAGAAATAGAATTTGTATTTTCTAGGTATTTTTATACTATTTCTATAATTGAAAGAAGCATGTTTTGATGTAGGGAAATATTGAGGAATTGCACTTCAAGTTTTTTGAAATAATCATTTTCAACAGTGGTTCCTCCCAGTAAATGAGAATGGATGCATGTGTGTGTCTATAGTCGATATGCCCATTCCCAATTCATATTTCATATTTCTTTCTTAACCTGTATTTTCTCTTAGCTATGAAATACACAAGTCAAATATATAGCAGCCTCCTCACTGGCCTATGAATATAAATAAGTTAGGTCATATTAACCCAGAATCTCACCAGTTTAGCCCTTATTCCAATAAATGAGGTGTCAGCCTTCCTGAGCTCCTCCGAGAGCTACATGGAAAAGTAGTCTTCCATGAGGGTTCTTACGAGTGGTCTGTTATTGTCTGCTAGTGTGGCTTATTAAGAAACACAATTCATGTCTACAAGGCTGTCTTCCTTTTATCCTTAAATGATGGGTGGAGAGGGTTGGAACAAAGTTATGGGGTATAAATTGCCTTTAGGAGGGTTCCACTTTCAAGTATTTAGTAACTCTCAAAGGCTACACCTCCAATTACCATCACATTGGGACCACAGTTCCAAGATTTTAACTTTAGGGACATGGACATGCAGTCCCAAAATGGACTTGTGCAGGCCACTATGCAAGGCCTATCAGCTTTTTATATTTCAGGTATAAAAAACACTTCAATCTTCCAGATGTTACCAGTAGCGGATGTGAGAGCAAAGTTCCACCTGCCCTCATAGTCCTTCTCTCTATCTCTGCTCCTTACTGACCCATCCACAGAAGAATGCATGGCCCATGGAGTACTAGGAATGGAAGCCAAAGGGTCCTTTGCTCAGCTTAGCATAATTCTTTGCCACCTGGGCACCCATGTCCTCATTAAATCTGTCTTGCTTTCTGGCCTGAATCTTTTCACAGAAGCTCAAATGTAGTCCAGGAATTAAGGTGCCAAGAGGTATTTGCTATTTCTGCCTTCACTCCCCTTTCTCCTTTCTTGCTTACTAGTACGTAAGTAGCTTTACTTTAGCCTAAAGACAATAGGTTCTATGTATTATGTAATAATACAAATAAATGCCTGGAGATAGAGCTATCCACTGATTCTACAAAGACAACTCTCCTCCTACTCATTATGTGTGTGTATGTGTGTGTGTGTATATATATATATATACATAATATACTATGTGCACATATGTACATACATATGTATGTATTTATGTGTAAAAACACATCCTGTGTATATGTCAGGTAGAGAACTTGGAAGTGACTTGTATGCATGTGTACATTTGCAAAATTAAATCATAGAGTATGAAGTTTTTTCTATTCTATAGTTTCATTTTGACACCATTTCCATGGCTTTCAATTTGTCAAGGACAACCCATTTTATGGAAAATAGTATATATTATAGGAATATATTACCGTATGTTCAATACTTACATTGATTCCAATTTGTTGAGGTAGAAGGAATAGTATCACAGTTGGTGTGTGTGGTATGTGTATGTCTTTGTGTACTTTAGAGTGACTATTGTTTCTGTACATTTTTAGAGTATATTATAAGATTCTTTTTCTCATGGTCAGGGTTACAGGTATGTGCCTGACTTTGTAACACAATAGCACAGCAATGGTTTTAAAAGCAACATAGATGTTCAGTTTATTTATTAAGATATCAAAATACTTTAGAGACATGGCTTTCCTAAATTTTAAACCCATATCCTCAGGTTTGCTTTTTCTCATATTGTTATACTCATTCCATTCTCTTCGCTCTCTGTGATTCTATCTCCAGACATCACCTGGTCTGCTACCAGAAACTACACCATCATTTACACTCATTTGTTTGTAAAAGAAAGATTAACAATTATATAACAATGATCCCTGCATGATTAGGGACTGAATGAAGTCTGGAAAGATTCAAAAGCAGAAGTGAAAACAGAATCTCCTGAAAGGAGATGTAAGATAAGACATGAGGACCACTCAGAAGTTTTCTTCAAGAGGAGCTCGAAGGGCCCACTGGCAAGCTCAAAACCCTGATGACTTCTATGAGAGTCTCAAGTGGACTAGATGTGCATTCAGACTGATGCATAAGTGGTAGACTATAGAAAAGTGATCTTACATTCTCTTTGGAACAGTGGAGGAAAGGGGAATTATAAAACTAGACACATTCAAATGACTTCTAATAAGTTCTTATCTGAATAATAATAGGATGGAATTAGGACTCCAATATGAGATAGGGAAACAGAATCTTGAGTCCAAATGTGTATGCATATATTCAAAGCCAAAATTATGTAAATATAGAGATGATTCCTTTATGAATTTTTAGTTCTTGATAATCCTAACTGGAGTTTAGCATAGGACATATGTTTTCCTTACAATTTTGTAGCTATCAACATTATAATAGGGATAAAAAGTGACTTTTATAAATCTTAGCCCGTCTTTTCTTTTTACATTAAATGCCAGCAAAATCAAAATATTGATTCAGTGGTATTAGAATGATTTCCATGGTAACTGGCTCCTATTTAAGTAGAGGATTAAGCATTCCCTGTGGATAAAAGTAAAAAGAACTGGACTTACAGCAAGATGGCTTTTCAGAAGTAAAAAAAAAAAAAAGTAGAAAAGGAAAAATAAACACAAAAAAGATCACATGCCAAGAAAAAGTACAATTCAGTGCTTAAAAAGTGCAATTCTATCATACTAAAAATATGTTTACTTCTTTGATAAGTGAAGGTCTTCTGCAATAGTCACACCTTGAACATTTATCAGTTGAGAGCAGAAACATAATCACTAACCTATAAATATTTTAATTACTCTTTACCAATGCTCAGTGTGCTACCTACTTATTTTGCAGAACTATTACATGAAATAAGATAAGAGCAGGCAGCCCCATAGGCTCTGCCTTTTGTGGAAGATCCAGCTGATGAAGTGGCTGTGAAATCTCACCTTAGTTGGCCCCTCAGCCCCTGTGCTTCCTCATGGAAAAACAGAACCCACTCACCAGTACTCTCATTGGTGGGCACTTTGTGGAGCAGGCTTAGGGGACTCTCCTTAGAGTCAGGCAAAGGTGAATGCCCTTAAAGTCAAGAAGTATATATTGACTTTAGGAGAGCCTTCCACTGAGACTGTTTCTCTATATCTCAGATGATTATAAAGTCCTGAGAAATGAAATATGCCTTCCCCGTTTCACAGCATATGGAAAACGAATGAACTGTTATCAATAATGAGGGCAAAGAAGTGAAAATAGCTAGACAAGTTGAAGTGGTTGATACCTGGAATCCCAGTTACTCTCACGGTGGAGATCAGGTGGTTGAGGTGGGAGGACAGCCATGGTAAACCCTCCAAACCCTTGTGATAAACATCTAAAGTAAAAAGGGGACTTGGGGGATGGTTCAAGAAGAAGAGCATTTGCCCAGCATGCATGAGGCTCAGATTTCTGAAAAAACCTAATGCTAATAACAATAATAAACCAAAGCAAAACAAATTGCTAAAGAAAAAGATATTAATGTATTTAAAATACACAATTTCCATCTGTTAATCAACTTGAAAAACATGTATTTTGGTTTGGTGCTGCATATTTTTTTTTCAATACACAAGATAGATAACAAGAAGATAGAAGCTTATCTTCTCAAAACTTGTACATACAGATACTATCAAGAAGACAAAAAGATAGAAGTCCTGGTGAGGATGTAGAAAAAAAAAATGAATCTGCACACTCTTGGTGGAATGTAAATTGTAAATTGATATAGCTATTAGGAAAGCAGCATGGTGGTTTCTCAAAGAATTAAAAATAAAATTTTGATATGATTGAGCAATCCCACTATTGGTTGTTTATCCCAAGGAAACAACATGAGCATGTTAAAGAGATATATGCCTCCCCTCCATATTACACAGATAAACTGTCTAACTTGGTGTCCATCAACCGATGGTAAATATAGACAAAGTATATATCTACAGAGTGGAATAGTTTTGATGCTATGAAATAATTTTCAATAACAGAGATGGATCTGGAGTATGTTTTATTAAGAGAAATGAAACAAGCACCGAAAGACAAATACCACATGACCTTAAATGGAATATAAAGTAGAATTAGAATCTAGAAGGATGGTTTCCAGGAACTAGGAGCTGGTGAGAAGCTGCTCAAAAGATAAAAAAAAAAAAATTAAATTAGGATGAATAAGCTTAAGGGTATTATTGTGTATTATAGTGACTAAAATTACTCATGATACATTGTCTCTTGTGTGTGTGCATGTATGTGTGCATGCATGTGCGCACGCACATACACATGCATGCACACACACACACACACACACACATGAATTGGTTTTGGGACTCGAACTCAGAACCTTGCATTTTTGCCTCGTTTTTTGGCTTAAGGCTGTCACTCTACCACTTGAGCCATCTTTCCACTTCTGTCTTTTTGCTGATTAAATTTGGAGCTAAGAGTTAGATTTGTCTGCTTGGGCTGGCTTAGAACCATGATTCTCAGATCTCAGCCTTCTGAGTAGGTGTGAGACATCAGCACCCCAAAATACTGTGTTCTTGAAAATGAGTGAGAACAGATTTTAAGCGTTCTCATCAAGAAATGAAGAAATATGTGAAATAGTTCTGGAACATATTTATTTCATTTTAGCCATTCCAAAATACATAGCAGTAGTGTTCATTTTGTTCATGTTGTTCATTTTGACCACTTAAATAAGTAAATGAAAAGAAGAAAAAGAAGGAGCAGGAGGAGGAGGAGGAGGAAAA